CATCATATATATATAAAATATAGAATTGCAATTAACAATTACATTCGTTTTAATCATTAATCTCACTTAACAGATCAAATGTTACTGTCAATCGTTAATCGCAATTAACGATTAAATTTCTTTCAATTGTTAGACATAATTAACGACTAGAAAGTAGGAATTTAATTTAGAAGGAGTTTTAAAAAATATAATAAAGTAATAAACATGATGTAGAAAATTCTTAACGGAATTACATCAAAATATCGTTCCAATTTCATCGAAAAAACAACAATCATTAATTGTCCCTTTCAATCGACGATTGACGAATAATTTTATCACTCGATTAATTCAGTTGTCAATTTTTTAACGATTAATAACTTTAATCTTTTTCATCGATCGTTTAATCAAATGAAAAATTTTAATCGATTAATCCCTGACACTGTTTATTGTCATATAAATATTATAGAAGAATTTAAAAATCATGACAAACTTTTTAATACTTCGAACAATAAAGATGACGATAGAGTTTTACAAAAACATTTTGATAATGTTTGAGGACAATTAAAACCTTCTTCAAATCGTAGGCAATTTCGTTTAATGTTCCGATTTATACCTGTTTGAACAAGAAGTGGTAGAAAATGTAAACAGCTCCGAAACGTGGTTCAATATTGACAAGATATCGTTAATTAAATATTATTTTATATACATAAAATAACATATACAATAGACAAATTAAATGTAAAAATATTATATATTAATATATTATATATTATATATAATATTATATATAAAATAATATATATTAACATTATTTTATATACATATGTAATAGACAAATTAAATGTAAAAATATACTTTTCTATACCTTAACTTGCACTCTCATCTGCCGTCTTATTTATATTATCGTAAAAATAATGTTAATAATATTTAATTGACGATTCATATTGAACATTAATATTGAATTACGTTTCCGTCCTGGCCTAATCACGTCGCTCGCGTACGGCTGTTTATATTTCCTGCCAATTCTCGTTGAACCGTGTTTAGTAATGCTACAAAAAATATTCCAAGCCGTGCAAGAAGTTGTCCAATCAAATGTGTAAACAATTAAAACGACAGGGACGCTTAATTCTTTCGTCCGAATACTTTTTACCAGTGCGATTAGACGACGCAATGAAAACTACAAGAGAGTCGGAACGGTAAAACTCTCTGCGCGTTCTTGACTGGCGCCTAGACGCGGCCGTCGCCTCGGTCCGGTCAATTAATTCCGTTCGTGCTGGTAGTCGATCAAGTTCGTTGGATCGGATGTTTTCATGGGCCCGAGGCGGTGACCCGACGAAAACAATACCGCGGCGCGGCCGGGACCTGTCTTCCTCCGAATTCCTCGGGGTGTGTCCTCTGACCCGAACTTCGTGGCACCTACGAGCCCGCGTACGAGCACGCGGAGTCTGCCGGTATAAATAGAGAGGCCGAAAATACTGCGAGCGACTAGGCATTCTCCGAACCAGCTCGCGGAGGCCGAGGTGGAGAGAAGCCGAAGCGAATGCAGGGGAGAAACGGCGGGAAAGGGGGTGCTGGAACGAGACAATGCGCACCGCGGACAATTATATGCGACGAATGCGTGTCGCTGTGACATTGTAACGGCCGAGAGAACGGTCCGCGGGAGAAAAGGGACGGAAAGGGATGAAAAGGGACGAAGAGAACGGCGGCGCGACTAGTCTTCGTGGCGTCGTCGTAAGCCGCCGTAGACGAGAGCGAAAGCTGTCCTGTCAGACCGAACAGAAAAAGGACCCACAAAGACGATCACTTGGCGCCAGTATTATCTTGGCTCGGACCAAATTCTACCGGAACTTCAGGGCTCGAGTTTCACTGGTTTCGAATGAGTCGTCACCGTTTCTGCGCGGGGCCGGTCGATCCCGCTTCATCGCCGACGATCAAACAGACCCTACATCGGCGTTCTGTGAACTACCAGTGGCTTCAGATTGTTTTCATCAAGAATTGAAAAGGTTTTGACCGCGCGTAGGCCGTATACAACAAATTCTCCCCAATTTTTCTTCAGCTTGTAAACAAGATTGGACAATTTGGGAAGAGAAGATACAATTATTTTTGAAGAACTGTTAAAAGTATAATTATTATATAGACTCAATTTCACATGCATAAATTGCACTAATAAGTCATANGAAAGGGGGTGCTGGAACGAGACAATGCGCACCGCGGACAATTATATGCGACGAATGCGTGTCGCTGTGACATTGTAACGGCCGAGAGAACGGTCCGCGGGAGAAAAGGGACGGAAAGGGATGAAAAGGGACGAAGAGAACGGCGGCGCGACTAGTCTTCGTGGCGTCGTCGTAAGCCGCCGTAGACGAGAGCGAAAGCTGTCCTGTCAGACCGAACAGAAAAAGGACCCACAAAGACGATCACTTGGCGCCAGTATTATCTTGGCTCGGACCAAATTCTACCGGAACTTCAGGGCTCGAGTTTCACTGGTTTCGAATGAGTCGTCACCGTTTCTGCGCGGGGCCGGTCGATCCCGCTTCATCGCCGACGATCAAACAGACCCTACATCGGCGTTCTGTGAACTACCAGTGGCTTCAGATTGTTTTCATCAAGAATTGAAAAGGTTTTGACCGCGCGTAGGCCGTATACAACAAATTCTCCCCAATTTTTCTTCAGCTTGTAAACAAGATTGGACAATTTGGGAAGAGGAGATCGAGTTTACAAGCTGAACGAAAATTGGGGAGAATTTACTGTACAGGGTGTTTCGTAACATGTGGGACCCACCTCGGGAGCTGATTGTATGCCTAAACACAATGTGGTGTTAGATATTATAATTTCTATTCACGCACTGTACACATAATATGTATAGTCCAAGGTTTTGACAGTGACTTTTTGAAATTGTTGCACAGGGTGACCCAGACTAAGGCAATGAGAAATGTTCATATGGACGGCAGAACACGTCAGAGATGTTCGTTCTTGTTAATTTCACACTCCATAGTTTTCAAAAAATAAAATCACTCCGTTGCTCGTACAGCAAAACCATTGGTTTCGAATGATGTATAATACATAAATATTACGCAATCATAATGAGGGTGAATTTAAATCGGAATTAAAATCACACGATTTTATGGACCAACATAGTAGAGATTACTATACAGTAGTAGACTAGTGGAGCCGATTAATGCGAGGTGAATGTTACTGTTATTTTCGTGTATATTTAACTTTAAATTTATCGACTGAGACATTAAATTTTTGGATACAGGAATAAATAAAATACAAGAATCAACAAATTTAATATATCTTATTCGATAAATGGATAATTTATTTTGGAAGTGGTATAAGTCTATTTTTTTAACGAGATATCACATAGTTTGTGATTAATTTAGTACAAACATTTTATTTAAAATATACAAAAACTAACTAAAGGCACAGCTATTGGTGACCTCACATTAACCGACTTCACTACCCTACTACGTATTCTCTAAAGAAATACAAAACCATTGCTTCGCATCATAAGCGACAATGACGAGCCAATGGCAAAGTCTGATCGAATGCGCTGTTCGATCTCCATCGTCACGTTTTTCCGTCTCAGCCACGATCAGTTAAACATTATCATCTTATACGGAACTCGGAGGGAAGGGGCGGCATATATTACGAAACCGGTAACAGACTAATGTCATGAAAACTGGCCAAACGAGTTAAAAACCGGCCGGCTGACCGTCCTGGACTAAACTGGCGCCAAACTGGGCTCCGAACTTGTTGTTCTCGGAAAACGAAGTCTCATCGGCAGTGAATTACAAATTCCTCCAGCGACCGAATATTTTGCTCGCCCCCATTCAGAAAGTTCGAAAGCCTTAGGAAAGGATGCAACGCCTTGTCTCGACAAATGAAAAGAGAACGCCATCATCTCGGAAGTTTTATGAGTGAGTTATGTTAATCTGTCGGGGATACAATTCTCGAATAAATATTTACTGAACGTTATATAACAACGCTGTCACAACGATGTACATTCGATGTACATTCAATGGAACAACAGCTATTAAAATTGCACATCGTAAATTACTAATTATGTAAATTATGAAGTAGTAATACGATCTATTTACTGGCAGTTTTCTGATAGTCGTTTCAAGGTCCAAGATCAACGGTTGAAAATTTCTTAAAACATTGCTCAAAGGCGATACAAATTTCGATTAACTCGTTGCACTTGGATGGCGACTCTGAGGTACCGATAAAATGTACCTTACTGTAATTTCAAACCATTTTTATATCACTGTTCATATTTAATGAAGTGTTGAAAAATTCAAGTATGGCATGACCAAGTGTTCAATTCTGCTTACAAAAAGATAATACAAATCAGAAGGAAAGAAATCTTCTAGGTCGGAGGAAATGTCTAGAGCTTTGTAATTAAAGTGTCTTTGTGTGGAAAGTGGTTAATATAATGTAACAATTTCAGATGGAATGATTATTACAAAGAAAAATATCGAATTCCTTTTCTCTTCCAGCTCAATTAAATTTTTAATCAATTTAATCATTTTTAGTGGTGTTTGAATATCGCCATTCAAATGCAACTTTTCATTCAAATAATCATTCCAGCTGAATGTTACAATTGAAAATAATTATTACGTTACTAAATTGGGTTGTATTTAAGAAATTCTTGGATACTTAAACGTTTCACAAGTAAATACACACAATTTCGTAAGCATAAAATGAAGAACATCGAATCCAATGAAAATGTTCGGTAATTATGCAGAAAAGGATTGCATCTTATCGATTTTCATGAAATTTAAATATGTTGCAGAATTCAAATTCAAAGCAACTTTTTTTATATTTTAATGTCATAAGCATCGGTAATGGTGTACCTTTTTCTGTATACATCATTACCAAATACAGATCAGACAAAATGTCTGGGTTGTGGAATCAAAATAGTTTCGAGTACAAAGGGTTAATTAGCTTTCGGTAAATAAATTGTTAATCGATAAAAAGAGCTCCCTATTACTTTCCTAGCAACATCGAACTACTGTTTACAAATAGTACACCCGTCGCTCAAATTAACGCGAATGATAATCGTGTAAATAGGGTCTGTAAGCACAAAAGAAAAAATATTGGAAATGAAAACTATTGTGAATGAAAATACGTTCATTCGCATAGCTTAACAAAAACATAACTTCGACATTTTAGAAAACAGAAGTTATTCGATGTCACTATCGCTACTGTAATTTAAAACAAAAACAAACCTTTCCTTTTAAATTGATACAAACTCGTCAACTTCATCTCTTGAAATATTCGGAAGCTCGACTTCGTTTACATTGTTAATATAAATTTTTCGGATGATATTTTTTCAGTAATTTCTTTTGCTAAGTTTTCGTGCTGATATTAGTTGCAACGATTTCATTAAATATCGTCGAAATTTGAAGGCTCGTTGAATGTTTGGACCAACGTCTATAATGGCACTTTCCAATTTGTTGGCTAATTCAAGAGCTTTACAATGATTTACTGGTCGAGTAAATTGATATCACGTATAGAAAAAAAAAATATTACGTGAATAGCGTTACCGCGTTACCGATAGAAACGGTTGAGCAGTGGTCGAATTACGGAAACGTTCAAGGAACACGCGTTCAGATTGCAGGATACCACTGACAGAACCAGAGAATTATCTCCCCACGGAGCGACATTTGTGAGGATCATCGATCCCTCGACCGCACAACATAATCTTCCCCTTGATTCGGCGTTCTCGACTTTCATCGAGAGAGAACACAAAAAGGATTGCGCGCCTATGGGTGGAATCCTCAAAGCTTCCTAACATCAATAGGCCAGCCGTAGACCGAGGAGGAGTCACAAAAGAAGGCACTTGTGGCTTGAAGAGGTCGAGAAAATCGGCCGTTCGAATAAACGACGTGCATTGTGCGCGCTCCTCGGTTATCCCCCCCCTACCCCCCACGTCACTCGGCGACTGACCGATATTTGGCCGGAGCTGATCTAATAGGGTGGATTAGGGGCCCGAGAGGGAGAACCGACGCTGCACAGCGGGGATTTCGATTCATCTACCTGGGCAAAATCCATGTCATCTTTCGTTCCAGGTAAAAATTACCTGCGGTAGGTAATTAACGCTGGCTTAGGGGACTCGTCAATACCACGTATAGTACGATTTTTATGGTGATCGAAAATGGAAAATCAGACGCTACTCACGTAAGCATGGTTTTCAATATATTTTTATGGATATCAATAATTTTCTGATATTTGGCTATAATCATAGTCAAATTTAATACGATGGTCTTAATTTCAATATCTTTAACATTGTTCACGGAGAGCGCTGATAGGCGTGCTTTAAACTCGACGCTTTGAACTCGAATATCTTAATAATGGACAAAAACAGACACAATTTTTCGATTAGATATCGTAGTTGACATCTTATTTTAAATTATCAATCTTGCAAGAGCAGGTCTTTGGACGACTATCACAACTTTTTTTCTTTTTTAGGTACGATATTTGAAAATGTTAAACTCGATGCTTTAAAATGTACGTATGCAACAATGTACAGCAGCTTTTTGCTCCTACACGTATGTGTACATTCGCACAGGTGAGTTTGGAAGGATTGAGGCGTCGAAAATAATTTCGAACAGCTAGAGAGCAGATAGTCGACTGTTGTAGAATTGACTGTAACGTAGAGGCGATAGTATAGGCAACCGGAAGAATGGGAAAGAAAGGCGGTGCCACTCAAAGAAACGGATCCAAGGTGCCAGATTCACCAAACCTTCGACCATTCCGGCCAACAATGCCAGCCCATCTGATGTCAGACGTATTTCCTGTCTGGGTGTGTTCATTCTAATGTACTAGGTGTTCTGGTTGATCCATTATTCGAGTATAATGACTCCATTTCTGTTCCACCGAATCTATTTCTGTTCACTGAGTTACGAGATGTTGGAGAGGGGACGAAGTTGTTATGCTTTTCTCGTGAAAAACATATTGGTAGATTATTAGCAGACGAATAGAGAGATTAGGGACGTCGAATTAGTTCTTTTCGTGTGCACTGTAAAAAAGGTGTAAAGCATCTACGGAGTTTAAAAATTAAAGAAGTCAAATTAGAACGATTAATTGGTATTTCTAGGTTTCCGAAAAGATATTTTGAGTTTAGGAGAGGTCGCAGTCGTTGGATCATTTATTTTGATAAAACTTTCTCTGATAAATACAGTGCAAAAATAAGAGGACCCAAATTTTGTCACTTTCGTTAATGTTCATTATTTATGAAAGTAGTTTACATTTAATCTTTATGATTTCCACAAATACTAATTCAATTGAAATGTATTGATCTTATTATGATAGCAAAGGCAATAAAGTATTAGCTTCTTAAGTTCTTGTTGGTTCAAATCTCGAAAAATGAATGTTATATTTATTTCTTTGCATTGTTATTACGACGCGTGTCGCTTTACGAAATTAAAAATAATAAAATGTATTTAAAAGATCACATGATTACATTATCACAAATATCACATTTCGCTACAAAAGCTTTTAATGCAATATATATGTATATTATGAATGTGATTTTGTAAGTACATTTTATTATTTTTAATTAATAAATTAATTTAAAAAATTATTAATGTATTAATAATTTTAATGCAATATATTTAAATTAAACCAGTATTTGTGTAAATCATAAATATTAAACGTAAACTCTCTTCATAAATAATTAGTGGATTCCTATTGATGCGGACAATTATTATTTTTCAATAAAATTCGCAGTCTAATAATTGAGTATTGACGAAAATGGTAAAATACGGAAGGGCTTACGTTTGGTCTAGATTCATCAGAGAAAGTATTATGAATATTGATGGCCCAACGACTGCGACTTCTTCCTGTTAAACTACATATTTTAGAACAAAAATTGAAAAGTCAAATTTTATAATACGAACCGTATAAAGCTCCTTGACGCGCCCATTATTACAAGAATTGTAAAGAAATTTAAAAAGATTCAATCTTGTAATTTTCGTATGTAGATTTAGTGTCAAACATAAACATGACTTCACGTTGATCATAATCGTTGATTATTAATCAGATTGCTTTTTGTCCTACTCTGGTGATTGCGCTCGAACATAGAAGTGCTCACCCAGTATGCAATCGGGCGGATGCAAGTATCGGAGAAGTGAAAGCCCGCGGGTATTATTCCGCAAATCGGTTGTAGGATGTTTGAAGAAACGATTGTTTCGGATCGATCCTCGTCGGAGGTTCCAGCGTCGAAATGAAACTCTTGACGTCTGATCGAGACTCCGTCGAGAAGCACCGGCTCATCGGTCCTTTCAAGCCCCCTCACAATAGTATAATAGAGCCCATTCACGTTAAAAAGGTTCTTCACTATTCTTACGCGATTCCGCTTTAAGTCTTACGTGACTTCGTTTGAATACTTACTCGATGCGCCTCTTTTTCTCTCCTCCTATCCCCCCCCCCCTGACAACTTAAAAAGGAAAGTGTCCGTTTCTGCTTTTCACTTTCCGTTCACCGTGAACCGGGCGATTTTGACATTTTCGCTGAATAACACATGCCCCGCTTTTTCTGCTTATAATAATCCTTCGCATATCGTTTCTTATTTACATTTTTCTTTTACGGAATCTAGGGTTGTTCTGGAATTTTTGCTTCCTCTTAACATTTGTCGTTTCCAGAAGTAACATGCTCGTTTTGTTTTATGTTTGTTTTGAGTCAATCGACTTCGATGAAATTTTCATCGCGCAAAATACATTATCGAAATTTTCGTTACTGGCTCTGATAAAATAGTACAAAAAAAACACGGAATTCACGAATACCAATTTCAATTTTTGCAAAAATTTTTAACCCATTGTCTAGCAAACTAGATGTTATTACTTTTCGAAAAGTGTCTTTATATTCTCACGTTCGGCTATTAGAGAAAGAACGAGTGTTTTCTCGAATTTTCAGCTGGACAAATGATAAATGTTGGTTGTCAAGTTTCATTGACACGGTTGCCACGCCCCGTCGGAACGATTCGAAACACGGAAGCGTTTAGGAAACGGAAGAGTGCTTTTATCGTGAATTAATACCGAGCCAGTCGGCCGCTTGAAACGCAAGTGTTCGATATCTTTATTGTCAGCTCGAAAGCTTCTCGAACGGATGTATTAAGCGGGACTCTGCGGAATGAAGCACGATAAAAGAGGTATAAAAGGCGAAGGACATGGAAGCCCGATACATTTGAAAAGCATTAAACGTTCGGCACCGTCTTCGGTTTAATGTATTCTTAAATGTTCCGACGAAATAGATTCGCGCCATACGTATATTGAATTTGCTTGCAACTCAAATTAATGGGATCTTTCACCTTTGCGAAAAATACACGCAATTACAAATACTGCGTACGCTTGTAAAATGCGCGTTTTCATGTATCCCTGCTGCTGTATAATTATATCGTATACTTCAGCGATGGATAACAATATAAAGAGTAAGTCGCATAACTTGCACATGTCGAATAAATTCTTGTACAATACATTTGTACAACAAATTATTTCTACAAAGTTTCAAGGTATCAAAAGAGAACTCCTTTATAGGTGGAGGAGGATTTAAAGGTAAACTTTGTTTTTTTTTTAATGAAACGCTCTATTTTTTGCGGCAGTTTGGAAGATCATTAATTTCCACGTAAAAAAGCATTAAACATTTTTTGTCGTAAAGTTAACAATAATCGAGAAATTACGAAAAGATTGTCCATGATACAATGGGACTTTGCAAAAATAATTTTTTGTACAACGCATAATTTAGAAGTTATTCGAGGTGTGTGATTATTCGATGTGTTTAATTAATTATTTTTAAACTACGAACGTATCGAAGATATAAAAAAAAAATCATAAAGTATCATTCGTATCGTTGAACTCCAATAATTGTAAAAGCCGCGTTCAATTTTGAATGCGTCTGGAAGATTAGTGCACCGATTTGGTAAAACTTTTTCGCAGACATTTAGTACGCTATACACTTTAGTTCCCTGTTATAAAATTCTTTCGATTCGCAGTTTGGTTTATTTTACACGCGAACGAAAGATCGCATAATGATCGCTGCTAATTCCGAGCCCGTAGCCGTGTTACCCTAAACGCGAAATCCTCCGAGCGTTTATGGGTATCGTCCGTGAACGAAATTTCATATGGCATTGTGTTTAATTAGACACTTTTCTGTTTACCGTAGCATTAAATTCAACCCTCGCCATAAAAGTCGCTGTTCGAAGCGTAAAGCTGAGTTTCTCCTTTGTAGCGACGCGGAATTGTGATTCTTTTTTTTTCTTGGACGCGATACGATCGCGGGAACAGGAATTTTTTTCATGAAAAATTTAACGCTCGGCTTTTATGTAAGTCAACCGACAACATTCGCTAATTTATTCCCGTTTCGTCTTATTGCATTTCGATTCGATGTAACGACGATCTCGCGTTTCCTACTCGGCGCAAACACATAAAATCATCGGCTTGGATTATTGCACGTATAAACGTCTTTCTCGCGATCTTTTAGTGTCTAATAGCTGTATTGGCCGCGTGAGCGCGCGCACTAAAAGAAATTGCATAAGGCTGGACAAGTAAATTATTTAGCCGAGTGAAATATCGATGCAAATACGGAAGATGAAGGCAGACGCGGACAAATGCACGCAGTTAATCCACGTTAGATATGCTGCAGAGGCGTGTCTAGCAGTAGTGCCTGTCGGGTACGTCCGTTCGTGTTCCCTCGGCGTTTCTTGGGCTGCTTATTAATTTCTTAATTAATTGTAATTATGACGCTCGCGCCGTAGCATCGACAGTTTGTTTTTGCTTCGCTCAAGAACCGTTCCTTCCACTCGCTAACTGTAAAGAACATTTACAATTACTTACTCTTCGGTCTCGGTGCCGTAACATGCACGGACGTTCTAATTTCAAAAAATTCAAGGCGGTAAGAGCGTCTATCTAGTTCGTGGATTACGAGGCAATTCCGCGAAATTTTCTACGAGGAAAATATCGAGTATCATAATCTTAGGTCGTGGTCGGTGTACCGTTTCTGACCATTTGTATTATCATAGTAAATTCTCCAAAAATTGTCCCTCAACTTGTACACGAAAATGGGTAATTTAGGAAGAGACGGTACGATTACACTGTCCGACACGATTTTTAATTTCCTACAGGTAAAAACTCAGAATTTTCGACAAAATTGCATGAAAAGTGAAAACGTTAGAAAGTTCTAATCGGTTTTAAAAGATAGAGGAGAGTTTCCCGAATATAGTGGCATGCAATTTATTAATTGTTTTTGGTTCTAAANAATGGGTAATTTAGGAAGAGACGGTACGATTACACTGTCCGACACGATTTTTAATTTCCTACAGGTAAAAACTCAGAATTTTCGACAAAATTGCATGAAAAGTGAAAACGTTAGAAAGTTCTAATCGGTTTTAAAAGATAGAGGAGAGTTGTCCGAATATATCTCGAATAATCGTACCTCCGTTTCTCGAATAGTCCATTTTTATTTACTGAGGAACAATTGGAGAGAATTTACTGTATTTATATTTCCTTATTTGAAATTGGTTACAATTCCCACTGATCATCAGATCTTCGAACTAATACATACATATTAGGTTGAGGAATAAGTTCGTGGCGTTTTTATATTTTCTTTTATTTTACAACGATTTTTTGCTGTTTGACAAAGTGTATAGTATTCATTCGATAGTGCTCTTTCTGCTCTACAAAACTGTGTTCTTCGCTTTTCATCGAGGCCAAAAAGCTGTTGAAGGGACATTTGTAACATTTACAGGAAAGGTGTCATAGGCGAGTTTATAGGCACCATTTCTCATCTCCCGTGACGATTCGTTACAAAAAGCGCTGTTTATGATCGCGTGTTGCTCGATGGCGGGCGAGATGTTGAGAAGCAATTTGAAGGCGATTTTATTTGTTGTTTTTGTTAAGATCGTGAGGCACCCAGGCTCCCAATTTTTCGGCAAATCCCATTGAATGAAGATGATTGAGAATATCGTTTTATGATCGCAGTTCATTTTTTCGGCCAATTCACGACTTGTTTGGTGACCGTCCTCCTTCAAAAGTGCTTTGAGACGCTCTTCGTCGAATTCAGAAGGTCTTCCGCTGCGGGGCGTGTCGTCG